CTCACTAACTTTGCCAACACAAAAATAACTATAACTTACTCAAAGTTACAGATACTGAGTTGAGGTTTATGTGACCATAGCTGGGAAGCATTATACAGAACAGATAATGTGAGATGTGGCTATGGCYGTCATATTGAATTAACATTCTGTCACCAAACATGGTCAGCAAAATGCCTCAAMGTATGCTTTACTTTTGTTTAATTTTGTTCATCTAAGTCCAACTTAAGGCCTGCAGGCCCAATGTGGTCCGCCATGGCATTTTATGCYGCCCGTGAGAGCATCAYGTGTTTAAAGTGCCTGTGACYTGCATATTCTTCAAATACAAAAAYTCAYAGAAAACATCTTTATATTTAAGAAAGTTGGACTAATACACATGATTTAACCCATTTTGTCCCATAACTGGCATATTTTCTTTTGAACTTGGCTCAGTCAAAGTGAAACAGGAAGTGACATCAAAGGGGAACTCTTTAGCAAAGAAAACTCTCTGGTCTTTGTTTATTGAAACAATATATTTTGAACTCTGACTCTTCTTCATCTCTCTGATAGAGACTCAAAATAATCTTAAGAAACATCAGATTCTTCTCTATTGTCTGGGTTGTTGGCTGTTGTAGCAACGCTCTGTTCACATGCAGACATTCCCCTTTGACATCACTTCCTGTRACTTCACAGGCAAATATCTCAACAACTGTTCATCTCAGTGACATGAAATTTCTTTTGAAATATTTTKTCAYTYTRATCMTTCRAAAAATGCATTCATATGTATTACAAAATTTTGACGTCACAGGCACTTTAAGTCATAAAATAAGCATATACTGCTTACAAGCCAGCTTTGACCATAGACTACATTTCCCATAATGCATTTTTATTATTTTACCTGTGAAATGACAGCATCCTACCACTAGGGAGAGGTGAATAGTGTTCAAGCTGGTAGATCCTGCCAGCTTTATTTTTACCAGCTAATTTTTCTGTGGCCCAGTTGTACTAGGAAGTGGGAATTTACCACTTACCAAGTTGTAAAATTCAATTGGAAGACATCCTACAGRGGGAATTCCCTGTTGGAACTTGACAGAGTTCAGTTTACAAGATGCTACTGTCATACATGTCAAGTTGTTCAGATTYTAATTTACATGGATTTTCCCTCAATCTCAAAGATTTTTTTAGGTTTACGGATTTTTTAAAAGAACTCAGTTTCAAATTTATTTTATGTCTCACAGCCTGTTGGACGTTTAAAAAAAACCATCAAATAAGCTTCCAACCTGCTCTGCAGCTATTAATAAGTTCTCCCGTCCTCATTTCCTCCTACTTAATAATAGAGCTGCAGATTTTTTGCGAAAATTACAAAGTTTTGAAGCTCATTATGCAGGTAAACGTTTGAAGGGMTTGATGTTACGGTTGAGCTTAGCTGGTTTGAACCCCAGGATTGCAAGACTGAATGAGGGTGGCAAAAAAGGTTTATTAAAACAAAAACAAAGGTGCTGACGTGGCAGCAAACAAGAACAAGGTCTTTGGACAGGAACGTGAACATCAAACAGTAAACAGAGAACAAGGATCTGACAAAGACTGAGGACAAAGGACAGAATATAAAGGAAGAACTAATGAGGTAAAACAAGAAACACCTGGGGAAAAAACATGAGGATCAAGTGTGAGTGGGCGGGGCTAGAGCAAAGGCAGACAGGAGGAATAAAACAGGAGGAAAAGACAGAAAACGTAGACTAAATCATAAGCACAGACTCAAGTTGACATGTATGTACTCTTATTTTTACTTTTAGTAGCATTTCAGTATTATTTATTCTACATTTAGTCGGTACTTGAGGACATGCTATTGTTTCTATGCGCAAAATACCACACAGAGCTCATGTTGTGTGTTAGTAGGAATCAGCCATAGCAATGAGACATGGAATKGGATGTTTTGCATTTAGTCAAAGTTAAACAAAAAACGTCAAAGTTAATTATGACAAAGGGCCACTCCATGTGCCCCCTTGTTAAAAATGAGTTTGACACTRCGAATACAGCTTATGTCCAACTTCATTCTTTTCCTCCAGCTTTCAAKGTTTTCACCGCAACCTGCAAATCAGTTATCAAGTCGCAAACGCTTCATCTCGAATAAGTTCACACCAATACTCCGAGGAGCCCGGACAAATTCTCTCTCCCACTCAAAGTTCTCTGCATGAATACAGAGAAACATCACCAAAWCCCACCCTTTGCCCTTTAAAAGAAGTTTGCATGGACGGGCTGAACGAGTGTTAATTTGTCAAAGCCTGTCACAGTCAAATGACGCAGAATGGTTTTTAAATCACACTCGTGCAGCAATTTCAGTTAATCCTTGGCGCATTCTTTACGCGGCAGGTTCGTCCAAATCACCCCTGTGTTGCGGAGCCAAAAGTATAGCTCGTCCTGGCTGAAAGCTGCTCGCTTGGGTCCAGCTGTATCAACATGACGAGTGAAAAATGTCAGCTGCAGCCAAGGATTTTTTTTTTTTTGAACAAAATCATTTGGCTTACTGGATTACCTAAAAGCAAATAAATAAAGAGGCAGGCATCAGTGATTAGACGGTTGTTGGGAAGCCACAGGGTGACAGAAGGAGAATTTATCAAATCAAAGTGGACGTTTCAGAACTTAACTGTTTCCTTTTTTTCCTGCAGGTCAAACCAACATTTAGCCCACTGTATGAACTGTATATACAGTTTCACGAGATGCTGGAGTTAAACCCCACTTCTCTGATCATATGGATAGGATTTTTTAAAACTAAATCAGGATCCATGCTTGCACAAAATATCAGTCTTGCCCACATTTTCATATCCTTGAGGRCAGAGTTTAGCCATTGTCACTTCATTTCTTTTTCCTTGCGGACATTTTACCACAATTTTTTGATTCAAAAGCATGGAAAAAAAACTACAATTTCTTTTTCTTTTTTTATGCGTCATTTGATTTGCTTAAGGGTTTCTTTTATTAGGTTCGTATGGTGCGTTATTATTGTTATAATATCTTAGCTTGTTCCTTCGACTCAAACAAAGAGATAGTTTTAGTTTTACCTCAGAATGATGCAAATCCTATTCATTTGAACAACGAAAAGTTCTAAAGCCATATGTTTAGGGGTATTTTTTTCCCCTAAACGTGCCATTTACGTAAACACTTTGTTGGAAACGTGCAGTTTAGAGTGAACTTGTGATTCTTAACACAAAAATAATATACTGTAAGGCTGAGAAGAAAATATGCTGAAATTAAAATTATAACAAAACAATAGCTGTTCCAAATTTCYTGMTAATGCCATTAAATCTAAAMAATAATCTAAAGAAAGATAAAATCCCGTACCCTGTTTGATATACTGTACTTCTGGCTTTAACAGAACTTTAGTGTTTATTTTGGCTACTTTGTAAGGATAGGAATTTAAGACAATTATGGCATTTCTTTTTTTTTCTAGTGCAGAAATTCTGCTGCACTATATATAAAAAAGGAAAAAAACTAGTGCTACTCAAACAATACAGAACAAGAAGAGCTGTCCAAGCTTCTTTCACTGTATAGAAAGGCTAACAATCAGATTGAACATTGATCTGATYTGAGTAAAATAGTCATAACAATGTTATAATGTGACAGGGCCTTTATGACATCTCCAAATATTGTTTGGTCATAAATGGCATAAAGAAWAAAGCATTGTGGGACATGTAAAAACAGCTTAGATAGACTTCTCCACAAGTCATCAATGCAGAATAGTCCRAAGAACCATTACCCTCCATTCAGAAGTCTGAGTTATAAAGAAACTTGTCAATTATTGTTCGATTTGGCACAAAAATTACTTCCTTTATTTTTTGCTGACAAATCAGAAATGAGCGCATTAAGCAGAAGTTTCAGAATATGTAGCATTTATTTAAAGGCATGCAAACTGTTGAGTAAATCTGTACTTCCCTCTTGTGTTTGCAGGACGAAACTGCCTGAGTTTAAGTCAGAAGAAAATAGAAGATGTTCAAAGGCTGCTCAGTCTTAATCTTTCAAAGCACCATGTTTGATTTCTTGTTTATCTTATAACAAGCAATGTAGATTATATGTAATTATTTAAGTGATCAAGACTGTTTTGGGGGAAGAAAATGCACTGACAGAGGGTGCTGGGTAAATCATTTTTTTTTAAATAATATATTAGGGTTGCAATTTTAAGCTTTGGTCTAATGTCTGTTATTATGGAAACTCATTTCCACCTCTCTGATATTAAAAAAAAAAGGTTAGTGTAAAATGTGGAACACCAAACGTTTCCCAACTGGGAAATGAAACATGTTCAAATACAGAATAGAAATCCAGTTGCTATATATATATATATGATGTCCTGGATGACTGAAAATCTACACCAGAATACTGTACATCCTTATAGTTATAATTATGAAATACTATGTTAAAATTATGACTTACTATCTCATAATCTCAATTTAAAATCTGATTTGGGCCTATTTCATGATTCAGAGGATCTTTAAAAAAAACCTCAAGATAGCAATAATTTACCTTCCATATATTTTTGTGTTTATCAAAACTGTTTAATTTTTTTTAAAAAAATCTGGGAGTTTCACAAACATGAAGTTGGAAAGCTTGGCATTTTAACTTGGCATTGTGTGTACACAWCTATCACATTATATCGCCTAAACTTAAACTACATCACCCAGAAGTCTGTGGACAGCAGGACTCTTTTCCGGTGACCAAATCAACACAAAGAACAAAAAATAGAAAGAGGTCTTACTCTGTATAATTTTGGGAAAACGACAAAGCCAGCCAGAATTTCTCAATTAAAACAACAAACACATTAACATAAACTGAAATGATCATTTATAATAAATAGAAATAGCGAAAAAAAGAGTCTTATTAGAGGGTATTTTTCCAACAGTAAGTATATGTTACCGCGTTTACACTTGTCGTTTTTACGAACAAGCGATTCAGCMGTAGTGTGAATAAACGATCTTTGCAGCGTGACACACACTCAACACGTTCCACGCGTGGTTTTAAATGGGTGTGGCTCCTCCTTCTGCAGGAAAGTGTCCTGTGCTCACGGCGCGCGTTGAGTGAGCACAGTACACATGTATCATGTCATAAATCGAAAGAGGAAGAATCCGAAATTCAGGTGACATGGATTTGTAGGGACTGGAGAGAGTGGGTGAAGCTGAGGATCTCTGAGGAAGGATTTCTGGAGCTCATAAAACCAAATCAAGGTAAACACCGCATGTTTCACATGGAGCTGAGCCTCAGGTGTGTAACATATGCTTACCGAGAGTACTTTTATTTAGAATAAAAAAAAAACTAATAAAAAAACAGGTTTCGGTTTGAAATAGTTTGCCTTATAATTAAGCTGTTTGTACACAGCTCTGCTCAAAGGCTCCATTCATTAAAACAAACAAAGAAGAGTTCTCAAAGAGCCTCTTTATAGGCCTGGAAATCATCAGTCATGACAGTCTAAAACTTAAAAAAAAGTTGATGTTTAATATATCAGAAAATAAAAAAAGTTGAGGAGTGATGTGACACACAGGTTTTTTTTTTTTATTCTAATTTTTTTCAGGAAAATATGGGGCTCCTGCAGCTGCTGAAATCTCAGTTCCTGTGCCTCCTGATCATGAGCTACGTGTTCCTGGTGAGCGGCCTTGTTGTCAACCTGCTGCAGCTCTGCACTTTACCTTTGTGGCTGGTCAGCAAGCAGCTGGCTCGCAGGGTCAACATCCGACTGGGTTACTGCATCTCCAGCCGTGAGTACTGCTCCTTCTCTCTGGAGCACAGCTGATGTTTTGTTTCCATTTGCAGCTGGGAGGGAAGATATTTGTACTTTTAATACGTATCGTTGGAATAAAAAGAATTTCGCCAAAATCACCTTTTTTTATCTCTATTATTTTCTGTAATAATCAGACTACTGTGAGAATAACATCTTCTAATCTACGTTAAAGGTGATATGTCATACTTTTCAAGACTTCTTTTTCACTTTTAAATCATTCAGTTGGGGTCTATATAAAGTGGAACTGCAATTCTTCGGTCTGAATTCCTCCTTGTTGTAACTCCACAAGCCCCTTTTCACCCCTTTTCTCTCTCTAAATGCAAACAGGCACGTTAAACCKCGCCCACCCACCAGCTTCTAGAATGGTCCATTGTAGCTTGATGGCAAAGATTCAACTACATTTAGAAGTTATGTTGCAAATAATGTGACGTTATAGTTCAGAAAATACCATAGCAGGGGTGTCAAACTCCAGTCCTTGAGGGCCGCTATCCTGCATGTTTTAGAGGTTTTCCAGCTCCAACACACCTGATTCAGTGATTGAATTAACTCTTCAAATTGGGCAGAAGCCTGTTAATTACCCAGCGATCAAAATCTGGTGTGTTGGAGCAAGAAAACCTCTAAAACATGCAGGATAGCGGCCCTCGAGGACAGGAGTTTGACACCCCTGCCATAGAGAATAACTGAACAGGTTGAAAAATATGACCCAAACAGAATATAAAGATGTAAATGCAGCACCTGGCTAATCTGCTGCACCCTTGGAGACTCTTCAGTTCACAGCAAAATGCATTTAATGGCTAAAATGTGGATTTTTCATGAAGTCTCATTTAACAACCAAACTCCATCTTATATCAGATATTTTTGCTGTTTTGTTTTTTCCTAACATAGCACTTTGCTTTCACYCTCCGGGTTTACTCATGGTTCCTAGAGTTTCTGAAAGCAGAATAGGAGGCGGTGCTTTCAGCTATCAGGCTACAACTTCCAAATTCTGTGAGGTTGAAACTCAAGGGTTAACTCCAGGTTTAGCATTTTTTAAATAAATCCTATAGTTAGGGTTGGCTTGGGTAGGTAAGTAAGGTATCCCTTAGTTTTGCTGCTGGAGGACAAACTGACCACATTTGTTCTCTCTACTCTTCATGTTTCCACATTYCTGCTGTCACTCACTTAGTTATTGGCTTGTCTTTCCATAAAAACTGAGTCCTGGTCCAATCTGTCTATGTTTGGGTCTTTTTCTTGTCTTTTKTTTTCTTAAACCAGTGGTTCCCAAAGTTGGGGTCAGGACCCCTAAAAGTAAAATTAAGCCCATGTTTAACAGGGTTTTTAGCAAAGTTTGCTAACGTAAACTAGTAATATCTGAGTTCACAAGTTTCTGAAATGGTTATTTTGTGGTCCGGAAGCTGAAAAGTTTGAAAATCCCAGCTGGTCAAGGAAAATAACCGCCCATCCTGAGCCTGGTTCAGCTGGAGGGTTGGGGTTAGGATGGTACTTCCTGTTTATGGGGAGTATTTCCTTTCCACTGTCCATAAAGTGCATGCTGTAAATGTGGGATTGCACCCGAATYAAGTTATGACACAATCTCTAATAAGTGGAATTGGAAATCAATGTAACCGTGTGAAAGCTTCACAGCATTCACACCGTTGATCATTTTTTCTTCTGTACGTTTTTCGGCATCGAACTCGTTCCACAATTTTTGTGCTATTTCAACAAATCATATATCAAAACATTCAGCTCATTCATGTGAGGGGTGCTATGACTTTTGGTATTTCAACTTTCTATACTTTTTTTTAGCTATTTCACTTTTTTAGACACTTTTTTGCCATTGGAAATGAATGGAGCTGTTTTCAACATCCTTTAAAATCCTTTAAAATGTTTCTAAATCTTTACAGCACCTTACAC